TTTTAACCAAAAATGCACTAATGATACATGTTATTTAGCTATGAAATATTAAAAAGAAAAAAAATATCATAGAATAAACAAAAACATTTTTCAAGAATATTTAACTTTCACTTTTTTGTTTTATGGTTGTAACGATAACAAAACTGTTGTAATAAATATGATATATTATAAAGTAATAAATTTTCTTTCCAAATCCCTGAAATAAATTTCTGATGGAATTCTACAGCTGAAATAATGATTAAGGACACTTTTTCTTGCCACTATGAGTTCAAATCTACACCACCCACATGCCCCTCCCCCTGTAAAAGTACCCATGCAGCTACACTATGAAAGTTCATTGGTACTGTAACAAAGGTGCAAAACCATGCCTCATGACAGACTTTCAGGCTAACCTGGATTATACAATAATGTTGAGAGAGCACAGAGATGTTCAGGCTGGCCTGTGTTATATAATACTGGTGATAAAGGATAAGAGTACACAGAAACATTCAGGCTGGCATGGATTATATAATACTGGTGACATAGGCAAATTATTTACTCAGCTCTCATTCAAAAGACTTTAATTTCTTCAATCATACAGCCACATCTATAGTAAGACATAAATTATGCATGACTTTTCATGTCTCCAATGATTTATTCATGATTGAAGTAAGATCTATCATCCATTAAGTGAAATTGGATACTGATGTAAATAATCAACATCCCAGGACCTGTCTTAACATTTCAAATTTTGGTATTTTCCCATGTTTGTATCTACAATTTTCATATCTCTCCTTAATAAAAGAGGTAATGATGCATTTAACAGAACAGGGCTCATTATAACAGCAGTTGTTGTTGTTGTTTTTGTATATAAAAAAAACAACACTGTTAAAATTAAAAAAATATATATTTATAATTCAATATCATTTCATTTATTTAAGTGACTAAAAATCACATAAAGGTCATTATAATATCAGCCGTGTCACAACAAAACCAACATAATGGGCTTGCGACCAGCATGGATCCAGACCAGCCTGCGCATCCGCGCAGTCTGATCAGGATACATGTTGATCGCTTATCAACCCTATAACAAGTAGTGAAACTGATAGCGAACAGCATGGATCCTGATCAGACTGCTCGGATGCGCAGGCTGGTCTGGATCCATGCTGGTTGCAAACCCATTATGTTGGTTTTGTCGTGACGTGGCTCATATATTTCATCATCGTTCTGTCAAATTATAGCATCATTATTTTTAATCTGTATTTATTAAGCATATTTTAGTTCTACATTAAAGTGACGATATGTAAAATACTGTAGGATAGTTAACTGTGTTAATACAATATTTCATTTTGTTACGCCCTCGAGGCTATTCATGACATCAAACCATGCTCATCATGATCTCGTCATGATTATGTATATACATGTATGTCATGAAAGCAGGAAACCATTATAAATAATACAGAGAGAATAATTCAAGTTTTTTTCTATAAATACAGATTTTATTTTCATCGAGTGGTATGAAAATAAATATTTCATGTCAGCAGCGGTACAATTTAATGACAGACACCCCCTTGAATTAACTAGTTTGGCATTAATAAGACATTAGTGAAAATATGGAAAATATGTTTCACTGCAGTGAAAAATAAATTTTTATAAAGTACAATTGTGTAGGAAGCTATAAGCTTATAGACACACTTTCGAATCTGTTCCTGGAACTTAACCGGTGCTGAGCAATGAGTGTAAAGTTTCTTGCTCAAGGATTAACAGGATTTGAACCCATTGCAGCTAGTGATCATTAGATTACTAACCGGACGCGTTAACCACTCGACTATGCTGCCACTGTCACATTTTAAAAAGTGACGCATATTAAAAAGCCAAAAAAATTGGGTTGGTTGGTGGAAATATGGATATGCCTATTAATTATTATAATATTTGGCCTATATTTTATGCAAAAATAACAGAATGCACATTATATTGTGAAAGTTTAATAACGTTTATAATTACATGCTAAATAAGGCTTCCTGTTCTACATTTCAATTGAAAAAGATATCAAGATTACATTAAATTTATGACACTCTTTAACGTTAAACATATGTTTTAAATTTCACACTTCCTATATATAGTTATACTTGTATACTAAAGGACTGATACATTCTGGACCTGGGTTGTTCAAAAATTTCATTTACTTACCATGCAGTTGTTAAATTTTTAACTTTTTGAAAGCCATAAATACAAATTTTTTGAATTTACATCATCATGGAATATTTCTGTGACAAAGGACGCAAGCTTTCGAATTCAAGCTTCAACGAATAAGACTTATTACTATTATTTATAAGAAAAAGTATTCTTATTTTCAGTTGTATACCATATATATACATTATATAGAGGATATTTGTTTGTTTTGCATGTAAGATTAAAATATAATTTCACTGAGTGAACACCAGATGCAATATTTTCACGAGTGGCGTAGCCACGAGTGAAAATATAATAGCTGGTGTTTACGAATGAAATATATTTAAATCTTATATGTAAAACAAATAAATTTTCTTTTTATTTCATGCTTTTATAGTGATTTTAAGTATTTTTTTACAGATTTTGCCGCGTAACGTCGCGCATTCTCCTTTGTGACGTCAGATCACATCATGACGTCACATCATCAATTTTGAAACATAGTTCTGTTAAATTTCTCTAATTTTGTCACATTTTTAACATGATGTATGGTGACATCGACTTTCCTTTCCTTAAGAAGCAAAATTTACGTGTGACAGCATTTATATCTGCCTGTTATTCCATTTCGTTATGATTTTATTTTCATCCGCATTCAGATATAGTCCGGCTACAGTGAAAATTATATTTTATAAATATCACTAGTGGTTTATCAGAATATAATCATCTGATATATTACAATAAAACACTGGAAAGCATGAAATAAACTTTCATATTTTTTGTTGTATGATGTAAAAATGGTCATTTGAACAAGTCAAACCTGCTAGAACTAAAGTGATTCGCTGTTCCAACAAGTCTTGATCATTTTTTCAGAACACAGAGATAAAGAACTGCTATACCAATGAGCAATCTTCCACAACTGGTAAATTGACTGATGACTGACAATGGGTCCTATGACTGACAATGGGTCTTCAGATGACTGACAACAGGTTGTCAGATGACTGAAAACGGGTCAGTTGACTGACAACGGGTTGGAGGTCTGACTATGGGTTAGATGACTCGGACAATGGGTCGTGAGATGACTGACAACAGGTTGTCAGATAACTGAAAACGGGTCGGATGACCAACAGTGGATCGGATGACTGACAATGGGTCAGATAACAGACAATGAGTCAGATGACGGACAATGGGTTGGAGGACTGACAATGGGTCAGATAACAGACAATGAGTCAGATGACGGACAATGGGTTGGATGACTGACAATGAGTCAGATGACGGACAATGGGTTGGATGACTGACAATGGGTCCTGCGCCAGATTTACAAAACCCGTTTTTATAAATAGCAAGGTTTTCCATTACCATTATTGCTCAATGTGAACCTTTACTTCTGTAGAGCCAAAAATTGTTTTATTTTCCCCACATGTCGAATTTAATCCTTTTTATCAAAAAATCAAGACATTCAAAGGAAGTAATTAATTTTGAATGCATTCAGCCTATGTCTATGTATGTAACATGTATACATTAAAACTTCTATTATATATAATCTCCTAAACTACATCTACATTGTATGTCCTAATAGCATATCAAGTTTTAAGTGTGTGCATTGGGTTTCAATTCCTTTGATAGTTAAAAACAGTCCATTATTGTCTAATTATGGAAAGGTATCCCTCTAGCTCAGTAAGGATGGTGATTACAAAATGTGAAATTATCCAAATTTGTTCAAAAACTTTCAAAAGTCCATTAGAGTATAGACAATTACAGTTAAACCTACCAGGGGCTGTGTTAATAGTATAAACCGTATTTGAGCCATGTCATGACAAAACCAACATCAGCATGGATCCGCATGCTGGTCTGGATCCATGCTGGTCGCAAACGCACTATGTTGGTTTTGTCATGACACGGCTCATTTAAATTTAATAGTAGTTAACCCATTACTGCAGTAAGGTAATAATGTGGAAGCTGGTCAAGTCAGTTAGATAAGGTTATTATAGAAAAGAAATCAAGTTTCTTAACTTACAAAGTAAGAAATAATATCGGCCTGAGGGACCATTTAACACTAGTTTGGAGTTTAGACTGCAGATGTCATAGGTTTTTGAAATACACAATTACTACTCACAGGTCACATTCCTCGAACCATTCCACACCATTGTTGACTTTGCCTCCATACTTCACTGTAGAAGTTTGAAACTTCTCCTTCCCTAGTGCTATAGTGACAAAAACATCAGTAATCTTAGCACCTGAAAATATAATAAACAATTTTATTACATACTTATAATTTATGAAATATAGAGAAATATTGATAAAATAAAATGTGTATTTCATTTTCCATATTTCCATTGCAGTGAAGCATACATGTATTGTTATTATTGTATTGTTTTTGGTTTTCTTTTCAAGGGAAAAATCAATTGATTATTATATGGGATATATGAGAAAAAATAACAACTTTTTTTATAATTAAATAGACATTGTATCATTATCATTATTCAAATATTCATTTCCAACATTTTTCTTTCAATTTGATCAGTGTACATCCCATGGGGATGGTGGATAAATTGACCTTCTGTCAATTTAACGCTGTGTACTTGACTACTTGACGGAAAGGAATTCTAAGCATTTGTAAATATCAATCATTTACAATTTATCACTGATCAATAAAAGTAACATTACATTTTCAATCAGTTTACATAGTTTACATTATATCCAATAACACTGTTGTATTTTTAGTTATAATTAAAAAAGAAATAATTTTTAAAATCATGGTTCAACAATTCAAATAGAATTTAAAGTGTTGATTGTAATTAATATTATTACCCATTTAATACTGTATCTTTGTAATCAACCAATACAAGTTTAAAATAAAGAGTAATACATGTCAACACCAGTGCAAGTTTACAATATTTTATTAGTGTCAATATTTGACCTGATATTTGGACCGTTTTTGTAATGGCAATATCATGTGTACCAAGTGACCAAATATTGCATACTCTTACATCATAAGGTACAGTTCTTTAAATTCACAGTAAAAACCTTACAATAGAAACAGGGTCCCAATGAAGTATTTTCCTTCAGATGATTTGAGCCACATTACGACAAAACCAACATAGTGCGTTTGCTATATACCAGCATAGATCCAGACCAGCCTGGGCATCCACGCAGTCTGATCAGGATCCATGCTGTTCACCTACAAACCCTTTTACTAGTAGAGACACTGATAGCTAACAGCATGGATCCTGATCAGACTGCTCAGATGCGCAGGCTGGTCTGGATCCATGCTGGTCACAAACGCACTATGTTCAGGTTTTGGCGTGACGCTGCTCAAATTTTTTTTAAACTGTTACTCACATTATGTCAAACCTATATGTTAATTAATACATTATTGTCAGAGTTCAGTAAATACTATTTTAGTAAATCTGTTGGTATTTGGTGCTGGGAACTTGACCTAAATAATGGAAACTTCACAAAGAGACATTATACAAAGTACATAATGTATCGGGCATGACCTATAGGTCAGACTGTATTTAATTGGGGATTTTAAATTTGTATTGCCCACAACAAGCTTATAATCTTCCAATTAAATATGTAAAGAATTTAAAATCAAGGACACAGTAAGTAAATAATTGCTATGCTTGCAATTCTGAAAACTGCTTTAATAGGTTATATCCCCATTCAATTCAGATTCAGCTGCATACCTATAGCCTCTTAGGTCAGAAACTTTCAAATAAGGCTAGAAAAGCAACATTATAATAAAGCAAGCTTCTTGCTTGTTAGACAAACAACATTATAATCAGGCCAGCTATATGCCTGTTAGACGAACAACATTATAATCAGGCTCAAAGCTTGGTTGTTATACAAACAACATTATAATCTGGCTAGCTGCATATATGTTAGACAATCAACATTACTGTATGCCTGTTAGACAAGCAACATTATAATCAGACTAGATGCTTGTCTGTTAGACAAGCAACATTAAAATCAAGCTGGCTGCATATATGTTAGGCAAGCAACATTATAATCAGACTAGCTGCTGGTCTGTTAGACAGGCAACATTAATGATTATAATCAGACTAGCTGCTTGTCTGTTAGACAAGCAACATTAATGATTATAATAAGGACAGCAATATGCCTGATCGACAAACAACATTATAATCAGGCTAGCTATATGCCTGTTAGACAAACAACATTATAATCAGGCTAGCAATATGCCTTTTAGGCAAGCAACATTATAATCAGGCTAGCTGCATATATTTTAGACAAGCAACATTATAATCAGACTAGCTGCTTGTCTGTTAGACAAGCAACATTAATGATTATAATCAGGCTAGCAATATGCCTGTTAGACAAACGACATTATAATCAGGCTATAGCTATATGCCTGTTAGACAAACAACATTATAATCAGGCTAGCAATATGCCTTTTAGACAAACAACATTATAATCAGGCTAGCTATATGCCTGTTAGACAAGCAACATTGTTATCAGGCTAGCTGCATATATGTTAGGCAAGCAACATTATAATCATGCTAGCTTCATATATGTTAGGCAAGCAACATTATAATCAGGCTAGCTGCATATGTTAGGCAAGCAACATTATAATCAGGCTAGCTGCATATGTTAGGCAAGCAACATTATAATCAGGCTAGCTGCATATGTTAGGCAAGCAACATTATAATCAGGCTAGCTGCATATGTTAGGCAAGCAACATTATAATCAGGCTAGCTGCATATATGTTTGGCAAGTAACATTTTAATCAGGCTAGATGCATATATGTTAGGCAAGCAACATTATAATCAGGCTAGATATAGCTGCATCTCTATATTGTATTCTGCTCGCAGCAGTCAACTCAGGCAAAGTAAGCATGCCTATTTGAGCAATTTATAACTTTATATTTTTAAACATCATTCATAAACATTATATACATGTACATGTATTTTTTTCAAATGAAAAGTCCATATTGATGGAGAAATTTTACATCTTGTAATGTTTTCTGTATAAGCATGTAAATACTTTTCAAAATATTATCTTGAGAGGTCATTTACTTAACAAACAGATTAAATTGTACCTTTCAGAGAATGGCATTAAATATAAGAGTGCAGCAACCCCATTTCAAATTTGGCTAGCAAGCTGTATACAGTAAACTCCGCTTATAACGAACTCATTGGGACATTCAAAACCTGTTCCTTATATCCGGAGTTCCTTGTAAGCATATAGCGAATTAGGTCCTTGTATCAGGAGTTTTTATAGCGAACAGATTTACATATAACGAACTGATTGTTAAACATCGCCATTTTTAAGAGCATTTGATTAAGAATAATTAATCATTTATTTCTTTTTTAGACACAATACCCGAGAGCGTACATTTTGGAATTTGAAAATCCTTTGCTATTTCAGTTTTAGTTTTACTCCCTTTCTCAATTTTTCATAAAACATCATATTTCGTTTCTTAACTCACTGCACTGTGCTTTTCGTTTTCTTTCAATGAATAAGAATAAACAAGATTTTCCATTTTTCTTCCTTTTATATTGAATATCTTCTATTATATTTTAAGGGTGACTTTAACTAATAACATATATATTTCTTTTCATTTCAATCAAGCATACTTTGTAGTTTTCTATGGATTATGTTTGCAAGCATGTGTGATTATGTTGAAAACCGATAATTATTTTACTCGAGCAAACTATTAAAGAAAAGAAATTATTGAATTATTATAAAGGTAATTACCGTTTTATCTTTGTGACAAGAACTCACGCTAAAATATCCTAAATAGAAAACTATTACATATTTCTATGCAAATTCATTTTCATATATTGAATTACTTACAACAATAAACGGTACATTCCGCCAATGAAAACGAAAGTTGAAAATGCGGGATATATTTACGAATAGACGATATTTGGAGTTCGTTATAAAAGTGTAATTTTATGCACTTTTAACTTAATTGGGACTAAAAAATGAGTTCCTTATAAGCGATAATTCCTTATAACCGTGTTCGCTTTAACCGTATATTTTAATATTAAATAAAGAAGGGCAAAATTCGGGCCAAAATAAATTGTTCCTTATAACCGGAAGTTCGCTATAACCGTGTTCGCTATAAGTGAAGTTTACTGTACTATAGTTTTACAACTTGAATGTATACTATAGTTTTACAACTTGAATGATTTTCAAAATTTTCAAAAAGGATACAAATTGCACGGTTGTCAGTGGGAAATAACTAACAATACTTAGGCCAAACTGAATGCTAAAAGGCATTTTAGTCCACCTTAAAACCTAGAAAATACTATTTGTTGTATGTGATAAAACCCAAAATTGACCCCCTCGAATTCTAAACAAACCGACGCAGAAAAGTTTAATGACAAACACTGAGTCACACAGACATTGGGTAAATAAACCATTTCACAACCACTAGGCCATGAAAATTTATGATTTAAATGTGTATATCAAATGTAACTGATTTTCAAGGTCACAGTTGAGCAAAGTGAAAATATTACACGCCCATTAAATGCACCATGAAAATCAATGAATTCCGTCTGTACCATCATAATGGTTGTGAAAATATTTTCAAACAATTCAGTTGTAGTGAACTTTGAAGTTAAAAGTGGTAATGAAAAGTTAACACCCAATTAACTATAGTAATGTTTCATTACAGGTGCCTGACTTTTGAGTATACCTTTTAGTTCAGTTTTAAACTTCAATATATTTTTACTTTTAATTTGCTGTGAATTTGAGCTAAATAAACGAGCTGTGCAAAGTAAGAGGGAGCTGTGTATTAGTTATTTAAACTCGATAGACTTAGTATATACAGGGCACATTACCTTGCATTTTGCAGCAGATTTAGGAAAATGCCCATAGATTAAAATTGGGAAAAATATACACAAAGCAATACAGCAATTTTGGGAAATAAGATGTGAAAATTTAACCCACACCTGACTATTCTGGATAACATCCATTATTCGATTATTTTTGGTTGAATTTTTAGTCATACCTGAACATTGTGTAGGTCATGTGGTGACTTGCTCTTGAGGAAGACAACATGCAGGTACCTCTCTGTGCATGACACTTCACTACAAAGCAAGCCTCTGAGTATAACCAGCAACCTTCAATCCATATAAGCTACAACATGTAGCTGGATACTTAAAAGTTTCGGCGCATGAAATAATCCATATTCTTTTACTTTTTCTTCAAGACTGAGCTCTAATTTTTAGATGCACTACTGATAGATCATAACAGATTAGCCAACCAGTTGTACTAATTTTTTGATGTTGTAATTGTAAAAGTTTGTTAGTTACCCCGCCAAAACATTCTTTATTCAAGAATAAGTCTATTTCATAATCATTCGAAAAATTTAAGCTGTTAATGGATTATTGAGTGTAAAAAATAAATACTTACTGTTCTTTCCTTTTAATTTCCCAACAAGGTTCCTTGCCCTCAGAACTGGAACAAAAGATATACAAACAAAATAAATTTATTTCATTTTAAAATAACATCTGTTATATTTCTTTTAATCAAGAAAAAACAACAGGTCATGAAATTAATTTCTAAACAATTTCTAAATATAATCTTAGCAAATGTGTCACTAGTTTTCAATATTTCATAATATTCCAAATTTATGCTAATATAATACATAATTTGTCCTCAAATTCTAAACTGGATACAGTCATTCCTTATTGGCCGTAGACAGACAGTAGTTGTGGATAGTGACTGCTCATCTGAAGTCCCAGTTACCTCTGGAGTGCCCCAAGGCTCGGTCCTAGGGCCCCTCTGTTTCCTTCTATATATCAACAAGTTACCATCTTCTGTCCTCAAATCCCAAGTCAGATTATTTGCAGACGACACTGCTGTATACCTAACCATCAATTCCTCCTCAGACCCCCCAACTCTCCAACATAATCTAGACAATATGGTTCTGTGGGAGAAGCAGTGGGACATGGAGTTTAACCCTTCAAAATGCCAAGTCATCCATATCACCAAAAATAAGACCATAATTAAACACAAATATATGCTCCATGGCCAAATCCTAGAGTCTGTTACAAATGCTAAATATCTCGGACTAGATCTATCTGCTGACCTTAAATTTAATACACATATATCTCGAATAACTTCCAATGCAAACAGATCCCTTGGCTTTATTAAAAGAAATGTCATCACTAAAAATGAGAAAGTAAAAGAACTAGCATACAAGTCCCTGGTCCGCCCACAGGTTGAATATGCCTCATCTATTTGGTCTCCTTATACTAAAACCAATATTGACAAAGTTGAGATGATCCAGAGACGTGCAATAAGATGGGTTAAAAGGGATTACTCCCCTCACTCTAGTGTCACAGCCATGCAGGAAGAACTGGGCTGGCTATCCCTTGAACATCGCAGACTGGACTGTAGACTGATAATGTTTTATAAGATATACCACAACCTAGTTGCAATTAATCTCCCAACTTATGTTCAAACCCCACATAGATTAACCAGACATATGCATCCCTTATCCCTACGTCAAATACAGGTATCCTCCGACTACCATAAGTACTCTTTCTTCCCTCATAGCATTATACTATGGAATAAACTTCCTAGTAACATTGCCACCCTGCCCAACCTGAGTCAGTTCAAACAGGCAGTGGTGGGTTTGCAGTACTAGTCTTACTCCCAGTGTTTTTAAACTATTTTATCTCTTATCATCTTGTTTCACTATTAACATTTTAACCATGACTAGAATACATTTTCAGTCTCACCTTCCAAGCATGTCAATGTTTGGACTTTTCTTTTTAGCTTTTCTCTTCACCTTTTACTAACAATCCGACGTGCACTAAATTCCTGCCTTTAACACTCGTAAGAGGGGTTGGCAGTATCCAGAGATAGATTATAGTACTTATTGACGAAATGTTTAGAAATTTTGGCCCAGATTTTGAAAATTTCCAGAGAGCAGTGTACATTTAAGGTTTAAGGTTAAAAAAAATTGATGTGTTTGAAATTTATCAAAATTCCTTTAATATATATTGCAAGGTTTTCAAAAAATAAGTTGTTTATAATGAAAATTTATCAAATTAATACAGTGGTAGTGGCATCTTCCATAATAAATAAATAGAGATTTTCTGCGTAAACTTGTGTATATATTTTTTTGTATGGAATTATTCATGCAATGATATTTAATTATTTTCTTACAAAGAAATAACTGTTTTATTCCACTGTAATTTAAAAAAGGGGTGGAAATCATGGGGGGGTGAGTTGTCTTGTTTCCGAAATCATAGACTTCATTATTACACTCCATTAGGTGAATTCCCTAGAGCTATGAATTTTAGTACCAGAAAACAGCGTTTAGCTAGGTTTTTGAATTTGTGAATAAGCAGGTTATTCAGATTAAATACCCTTAATAACTTCCTTTCTTCCTTTTCTTCTGTCAGGAATAGAAGTCTTACTTCCTGATGATGTTTAACAAACTGTTTAAGCCCAACTTTATGAATTGTAAATTCTTAACCACAATAAAAACATCATTTGTAAATTCTTAAGAATATTTTTCGTTTAAACTCATAATTTCACAATTATAACTTTATTGTTCGATTACATTTCAACTCCAAGTTAAATTATATTAACACTGATTAATATAATATTCAAGTAAGTTTCTGTTGATTCAGCAAGCTCAAAAATGTTGTTTTTCATTTCTTTGTTCATGTTTAATATTTGTTTATAAACTAAATATTTGTAAATCATTTAAACTGGTAGATCTATGTAACATTTGATCAAACTTTGATATTTAATTGATATGCACCTGTCACCTGCCGTTAATTTACTTACCTGTTAATTGTACATGAGTAGGCTCCCAAGTCATCCTGACTAATCGCAATAAAATTCCAAAAGCGTTTAGTGACAAGGATCAATTTTTCGCAACTTTTTCACGGAATAAATCCTTCAAATCATATTTCCCCTGAATATAATTATACTTTCACTTATATAACAATTAAAACTTTGATTTCTATGAAAACCGCATGAAAAAATTGGAAATTAAAACATGTTGTTTTCTCCTTTGCAATGTGTAATCCATTCACCTGTAACTGTCAAAACTGTGAAAAGTTTGTGACGTGTGCGCATGCGCTAGCAACTACTTCCTTTTACCTAAGCGAGGGGCGTTCAAAACGTTACCACGTTCAATAAATTTGATAATATAATGCGAGATTAGACAGTTGCACGGATGTTGTGAAAGTACCAGTTTCAGTGCCCGCAACAGTTGAAAGAAACACATATCTAAAAGCGGCATACATTTTTTTGGAAAGCCAAAACTTGATTTCCTCAGTAGTTGCGAGATACAAAAACAAAAAACAAAATATTCAAAGTTTGTACCATTCTGAAGGCCCTATGTCAGCACGGATTTACATTACTGAAATCCGTGATGTCAGTGACCCTTACTTTACACAGCAATTAAGGGGATGACCTACAAACAGCAAACTATTATTATTCCTTATTTGCAAAAAGATATTTCAATTCATTCATTTAGATTGTAAGAAACACATGTTCCTGGGAACTTTGATAGTTGGTCACGTTCTGGAAAAAAGTCGAATAAAAGGATTTTGAATAAATATAGGTTTAATACCGAATTTATTGAACAAGTTAAATGAAATTATATCATGCGGGCCTCTGGCAAGCACAGTACATGCGTATTTTTTATATCAACAAGTTCAATAAATAGAGAATATTGAGTAAGTGCATGTAGATTGAACAACGTTTTCATTGACGCGCCAACATTTTGCGCGTGTTTACAATATGTTTACCGCATACCCGTGCCCTTTTTACGACTCCGAAAAATGTTATTGCAAGGCCGTGCATATATTTTGTCGTGACGTCATTTTCATTATATAAACATAGCGTTAAGACGCGCTAAATGTTAGCGTTATATACTTAAATAGGCGCGCCAATGAAAAATAGTTCCTTTTTACTTCAAACGATCTTTATTTTTGGAATGAAATAGATAGAATATTAAAATCGTGCACGTTTTCATTACTCAATTTATTGATGTCGTTGAATAAAATCATATTGTGCGAGATTAAGCATACACTCATTCAATATCTTCTATAATTACAACGTAAATGACGTCATGTCCAAATTTTATGCACGGGCCGTGCAATAGATATACCGTTTTTACGGAGTTGCAAAAGCGGCACGGGCATGTGATAAATTATGTAATAAAGGTACACGAATGTTATATTATCACATAGCCACAATAACTTTTTACAGTAAAATAATCACTTTTGATGAGGTTATGGTGTAACGTTAACGTTATGAGCACCTTTACTTTACGCTATGTTAACCACGTCACAGGAGTGAAATAAAGCCATTTGACAAGAACGATATCACACTACTGACGTCATTTGCGTTATATACAAACATAGCGTTAAAGAGCACTATTGTTGGCGTTACATTATAGGCGCGTCAATGAAAAATTACTCTTTTTATTTGTAAAACGCTCTTGTATTGAATATGTGATAAATAGAAAAATATATTCGTGTAGATTCAATACTAAATTTATTGAACCCGTTGATCAATACATAGAGGATATTTGTTGGTTTGGCATGTAAGATAAGATTGAAATATAATTTCACTGAGTGAACACCAGATGCAATATTTTCACGAGTGGCGTAGCCACGAGTGGAAATATAATAGCTGGTGTTCACGAATGAAATGTATTTCAATCTTATATGTAAAACAAACAAATTTTCTTTTTATTTCATGCTTTTTAAGTGATTTTAAGTATTTTATACTGATTTTGCCGCATAACGTCGCGCATTCTCCTTTGTGACGTTATCACATCATTACGTCACATCATCAATTTTGAAATATAGTTCTGTTAAATTTCTCTGATTTTGTTACATTTTTAACAGATTGTATGGTGACATCGACTTTCCCTTCCTAAAGAAGCAGAATTTACGCATGGCAACATTTATTTCTGCCTGTTATTCCATTTAGTTATGATTCTCTTTTCATCCGCATTCAGATATAGTCCGGCTACAGTGAAAATTATATTTTATAAATTTCACTTGTGGTTTATCAGAATTTATTACATGCTTTTCGGTGGTTTATAGAAATATATCAGTGATATAAAACTGGTCATTTCACTGTTTGAAACAGTGAAATTACCACTTTGATAATTTCACTGTTTTGAATTTAAGCCCCTTACGTTGTTTCAGTGAAATACCAGCGTGCACAGAACTGGGTACCAACTTAATGACGTGACGTCGTAAATGACGTCACGTTGTATTATTATTTGGCGCGCTTTTCATTCAGTATGAGGTTTAATGTCTTTTTAAAACGTTTCTTTACATATAATAAAAAGAAAATTTGTTTAGTTTAGTGTAAGTTCGAAATATATTTCACCTTGTGAACACCAAAAGTTCATATTTCACTCGTGGCTGCGCCACTCGTGAAATATACCTTTTGGTGCTCACTCGGTGAAATATATTCCGATCTTACACTGAACTAAACAAATATCCTCTATATAATCATCTGATATATCACAATAAAACACTGGAAAGCATGAAATAAAATATTATGTTCGACAAAGACTCGCATAATTTGATTTTATTCAAGTCGTTTAATAAATTTAGTATTTAATCTACCTTGTATTTGTATAACGCAATGAAGTCACGTCAAATATATTCGCAAAATATATGCGCGGCCATGCAATACCTTTTTAAAATTACGGAGTCGCAATGTATTTATCCCGTGTCATCTAAGTTAATCACAAAACATTCTTCATGGTTAGTATTTTAATGTTACTCCTATTCTGTATCAATGTTTTTTTTCTCTCGGGGAGGCAATACGTAAAAGTGGCCTCCATGGCCGAGTGGTTCATATTGCCGCAGCAAAGATATTTGCCCCTCACCGGTTTTAGACCATTCTATACGAGAACGCTACATGTAGCTTACAGAAGGTCGGTGCTTCCAAACCTGTGCGCGATTGTTGGAATCGCAACATTTCTTCTCTTTCCGTCGATCTTCGGTGATTATGAATAATCGTCAAGATGTTCCGATTGAGATCGTTCCTGGAATTATGCATGAGGGGGCAAATTAGATCTTCTTTCACCAGAAGGGCTAGGAAGTCGCAATTTACCTTTCTTTAATCCTTTAAACGTAATATATAACTTGTTCTAGACCAGACAAAAACAAGAACAGCAGCAGCAACAATAATAATGATGATGGTGATGTTAATAATAATGATGAAGATGACAGTTATAGCATTAATTAAATAAAAAATACGTATCTGATATGATTTATTAATTTCATTACATATACAAAAAATAAATAGATTATTTCGAGATAATGAAACTTGTAACTTTCTTGCCAGCATGTCATCATCTGAAATAATTAATACATACACAACATGTTAGAACATAAAAACATTTATCAATGTATGATTTTGCTAATAAACAAAGTACTGAATTTGATCAAAGAGATATTAATTACTCCAAAAACTAAAAAATACCCATTTAAAAGCATATATTTTACTGCGCCATGTAATTTTATAAGACATTGAACTAAGAAAAAAATATATATATACCGGTATTTATTTTTCAAACATTCCATCAACTGGCCCCCTGTTCACTAAGAAAAGATCAGGATCAAATGATCATGATTTTACTTTCATTGTTTTATAAAACTCAAATTGATCGTATTTTGCCAGAATTGAATGGTACATAATCATAATGTCAAATATTGATGATTTGCAAAGAAACCATCCTATTTTGGGGATAAAATCGATGAATATCGAAACAAAGATCAAAATGAGGATCAATTTTAGGATCAAGATCAATATATGGATCAACTGTAAAATGCTTATATCTTTTAAAATAACAATTTGTTAATTCCAAAATTTCATGAACATGTATATGTAATTTCAAATCCAATTTTGTCAAATTTCTATTAAATATTTAATCTATGAGGATAAACAATAGGGGAATATTTGAGTTTTTAAAATTGTTCCTGATCTTAATCCTTAGATCTTGGTGAACACGGTACCTGGTATACATTCCTTATTTTAATAAGTATTCAGCAGTCAGCTTACCTATTGCTGGTTTATTTCTTTGTCGCACGTGCAAGGATCCGTTAGACTCTCCTCGATCTGTTCTCTAAATTTAACCTTCGTTTTATGTACGCCGCTAACTGACTTTAACTCTTTAGGTCGGACAAGTTTTTCATCGGCAGGAGGTTTTGAAATTTTATTACTCACTCTGTGTTTGTCCTTGGTAGATTTGACACCTTCATTTTTAGTGCTACCTTTAAGTAAAGCTATCTCTATACTCGAAGATTTCGCTGTTGAAGTAGACGCAGAAATAGTCGGACTTAAGGATTTCTTTACAGTGGCTTTCTTTTCAGAGGTGCTTGCCCTAATTGGATGTTTTTGTGCCGTTTCTTTCACTGAAGTTTTCTTACTACTTAAAGGAGATTTCTTGGCAGAAGATACAACTTTCGAGCTTCGAGATATTTCTATTTGTTTCTTCGGCGATGATTTTGTTGCGTGGACAATTTTATCTGGTGTTTTCTTTGAAGTTGTTTCTTTTTTAGATGGGCTCCTAGACTGCTTTATGAACGGAGTCGATTCCATTGATTTTCTTACAGGTTTCTTTGACTGTATCGTTGGGGCATTTTTACTACTTTTGCCCTTTTCAACCTTTGTATTCGTGGTAATTTTCTGTATCGAAGACTCATTCGAATCCGAAGAACAACTACCTTCAGTAGACGCAGACATTCGACTGTTATAGTTCACATTCTTTTTAGAACTTGTTTTGCTGTTTGCTTTACTCAAACTGTTTGTAACGATTTCGATAAAACTCTTTGAGTGTTCTCCTCCCTCTTTATTAGCAGTTTCTTGCTCTTTTCTCCTCGATTCCTCTGCTAGTTCATCACTGAGCTGATGTGACATTCGTACAAGAACATCTCTTACGAGTTCGCTAATCAATGATGATTCGATAGACAAATCACTTGCCTTATTGTCTGGTGAAGATCTTTCCATGTCCGTTACGTCCATTCCGAGTGTTACCAACTGAGATGAGATTCTGTTTAGAGTCTTCGTGCGAATTTCAATCGTTTCAACTTTTAGTTTGACTTGCTTCATAAGGTCCACAATTAAATCTTTGGTGATCTTTTCATTTTCTACCGATTGAAATTGTGGATCGGCATCTTTCAAGAAACGCGTTGCTGCATTGTACATTACTGTCAAATTCGAAGTAGAAAATTTGTCTTCCTCAATATTACGAACAGTTCCAGATATTGTTTCCAGAAGAACCTTATTGACGTCATCGGGGCTAAAGAGTTCAAATGATCTTTCTATCGCAGTAAGGTCATGTGAATCATTCATTGCATTTTGGAGATACTCAAGAATCATTGTTTGTATGTTTGGGGAATCAACATTAGATCCGTTTTCTGTAACTTCATCTGCTAGTTCGGCCTTCATTTCTTGAATCACATTTTGCAATACTTCGTTAATATAAGCCATGGCCTCTTTACTTTCTCCAGACACAAGTTCAATACTTGATTCGGTAAACTTACTTCCAGTGCGCCTTACACCCATTTCTAATTGCGAACGCCTATCTTGGTGGTCAAGTACAATACTCTGCAACGAACTTAATACAAAATCTTCAATTTCTTGCGACATATCTGAGCCGGAATGGGATCTGCTTCCTTTTTGTGATTTCATTGATTGTTCAAGCATTAGATTCGACACAATATTGTGTAAAGTTTCAAGCACAATGTCTTCGAGTTCTTTTGATAAAACAGAGTTCACACTTGCTCTGCTTGCCGATAAAGCTGCTGTTGATTTCTTTGCTTCTCTTGGGGACTCGTAGTGAATTCTACTTGCTGCTCTCTCTATGTCTCGCTTACTCACTGTACCATGTATTTTATGTACTCGATTTTTCATATCAGAGTTAACACGAGAAACTACTTCTTTTATTACATTTTCCGCAATTATTGATGAAGCAGATCTTAATACGTAAGCAGACGGTGCTTTTTCATATAAATAACTGCTGTCGTCTCTCATACCTATCAAAATTGTCTGCAACGTTGCTTTAACAAACTTTGTGAGAATTTCAGAGCTAACGTTAACGAGTATGCCTTCTATAGCCTTGAGTGGGTCACCAAATACTTCATCAGCACTGTCAGGGTTTAAATAAGTATCAAGTATACGAATAACGTAGGATGAACTGTCCCTGTAGCGTCTGATGTCTTCATAGACCTTCTGCAAATTATTTGCCGCGTTCATTTCAAGTGTCTTCATGTCGGCTTGTTCATTGCTGATCGTTTGGAAGAAGTGTGCCATTGAGAGGTTTGATATTGTACCATCAGCAAGTTCCGCCTGCAGCCTAGTTACAATTTCGAGAATAAAGTCAACTAAATCACGAGTAGGCCGAATAAGCATTGTTTTCTGGGCAGCAATATCAGTTCTAATTTTATCCAAACAAGCATCTATAAGCTCTTCAGCCATAACGGAAGTATCTTCAGAGTGTGGTAAGAAGGGATCTGAAAACGCCCTTTCCCCCATTCGTCCTTTTTCAACACTTCTTTCAACATTTTGAATGGTCTCCATCACCAAGTTGCTAAACAGTTCAACATCATCATCCGATAACTGGTTTATCGTTTGAGATTCATCTTTGTGATGAAGAACGCATGTCTTGTATTGCTCCAGTATAATACAGAATATCTCTTCAGCATAAGTCTGACTTACTTCGTCTCTCCGAAGACATTCAACAATATCTGAAATCGTGGCTCTGAATCTTTTTACATATTGTTGTAAGTTGATATCGCCAATTCTGTCTCCGGACAAGCTTGTAACCATTGTGACTGCAACAGAACTTAACATCTGTCTTGGTATGCCTTTCCGTGTTATATCCATTATAATAGATTCGATTGTTTGTTTCACTATTTGTGATGCTACCGTAGATGCTAAAGGAGATCTTTGAATTGTTTGAAATGAATCCAATTGGGAAGGTCTGCAGCCTCTTTCAATATCTTCATCTTTACCTTTTATTGTATATGCAACAACTTCGCTTGCAATGTCCGAGGCAGATGTTGACTCAATAATAACTTTTGTCATTTCTTTTAAGGAATCTTTGGATAAATCACCTTTTTCTATTTCTATTTGAAGAGTTTTAATCACTTCTTCCACGGCATCTCCTGCAATGGTGTCTGAGCAAGGCGAACAGATTTTATCTGATTTCCGTTTGAAAGAACTAACAAGCTTTCTGCCGCATTCAATGAGTTTAAATCCCACTTCTTCTACATCTTCATTGCCCAACTCACCATTTTGTATGGCGTTAGCAAAGTTTTGTATAAATTTGATCATCTGAGTTAGATCTTTATCATCGATAAATTCTTCATTCTGTTTTTCTACATTTTTAATTTTACTTTTGAACATATCTGAAAGTTCAGAGATATCAGCTTGGTTTAATTCACCAGATTGTATCCTGTGTGTTAGAACTTTCAGGACACTTCGTAAGAATGTAGCTAATGATCTAAGAAATGGCAAAGGATCACGTGATAATGTTTCTGAGTTATTGCAAAATGATTTCAGAGCATTAACCATGTCACATAAGAAGACGTCTTCAACAGAATCATTCATTATACCATGAAGGGCAGTTTCCAAACACTCCTTCACAACAAAAGAGGCTGCAATTGATGAATCTGACTGAATTCGCCACTTAACAATTTTGGCAATCATAGTTGCTATTTCCAAAATATTGTCGTCACTGATTGCCTTAGATGCGATTTTTGTTATGAGCTGATCAATGTCACATCCTGTCATATCGTTTATTCCCCCTTTATTTTCGATCAGTATCTTTAGATGTTTCAGTAGATCTAAAAGGACATCAACATAGGCTGGAGATACACTGCTATCCTGTAGTGTGTATATGACTGACTCGGCCATGTCCATTACACTTTGTCGTATCTCTGTATCAAATGGATTACTTTCTAGTTTTTCTTTCGTTTTCTGCAGAACGTCTTCAACAATACCTTTAGCCATTTCCACATTGCAAATATCAGACTTTGTTACAGCAGTAACGATATTAACAGATAAGTCTTCTACTTGTCTGGGGTTAAGATCGGTATTGGAAATCCTGTTGTTTGCTTCATGAATGATGTTAAGGTTAAGATCTTCAAAATTTCCTGCGTTTTGTTCCACCACATAAAGGATTTCTTTAACCAAATCGGTCATTTTCTTTACACTTAGGGACGAGTGCGTTTTTATGGCATTGTATGCATATGATATGGCAAACACGACTTGATACATTGTCTTTAAATCTAAAGCACCTGATAGTAAATGCCTTAAAACATCCTGCAAAACATTCTGGACATCTTCTGTGTTTTCAATATTTGCATCAGAATTTGAAGATAAAATGTGTTTAGTTTCTTGTTTAACTGACATAGCCAGTGATTGAATTTGTTCTTTTGTAAGAACCTCTTTCTCCAGGTCTTTGATAAGACTTTTGAGTGTAACGACCATGAAATCATCTAGTAAAGTTTCGCAGACCAATGAATCTTCTCTCGGATCCATGTCTGACGTTGCCGCTCTCTGTATTGTCTCCTCAATATATCCATCTAAGTCTTCCTCACTGACAGAAACGTTTGCACTGCTTTCGCTTTCCACTACGTTATCTAACAAAGAAACTGCCAATGATGCCAAATCATCATGGTGAACGTTTCCACGTTGAATATCGGTTAGGATTTTACTTAGAGTGAAATCTATCATTTTCTTTGCAATTATGGATGAGGAACTGGATGCTAGGTATGGTCCGTCTGATTCACTCTCCTCAGGAACTTCCATTATGGCATCGCTCTTTTCAGTCTCGGCCGATTGTATAATATCCATAGAATAGGATGCGAGTTTCATGATTTCTTCTTTACTCAGACGTCCACTATTGAGGTCATCTAGAAGCCGCAGTAAAAGTGTTTCAACGAATGAAATTGAACCTGTCTTGTCGGCAAGTTCCGGTGATCCTAGAATCGCTTCAGCTTCAAGTTTCTTCAGTTCAAGTTGAGAAGCGCAAGGTGTTAGAATGTGCTCGGAAACTGGTTTAAGTTTAAATGTTCCATCAGTTAAACTGTCTGCACTTGAATCTATATGAATAGACTCCAGGCTTGCTTTTATTTCTTCTTCATCTGCACTAAACCTGACCGATTTGCTCTTAATTGCTAAAACAAAACAAGAACACATACAGCAACAATGCAGATGAAATAAAAAGTTCTAAAATAGATTTTTTTTCTTTAATAGAAGTGCACTAAAATACTGATTATCATGGAAGTGTTTTCAATTATATTTATTCCTACTTTATAAATGGAAAGTGTAACGTTATTGACAATTTACCTTCTATATCATCTTTCGTGTCGTCGCCCAGCATTTGAAGATAATGTGGATATATGTCCTACAAAAACAAGTAACAGAGATGAAATGATCGGGTGGTTATATCCGAAAATGGCGTAGCAACGAGATGGTGGAAAGGTCTTGTTTGTTTTTATAAAAAGTCTTAATGTAGAACAAGAGCTGCCATGAAAAAGTGTTGATTTTAATATGCCGCCCTGGGGGGGGGACTATAAAAAATGAACAGAAAACTACACGAAATAAAGCCAATGACTGATAGTAATGTTATGCTTTTTGCTTTTTTATTTAGCTTATTTGAGGAATGCGAAAAGACTTCTTGAGCGGAATTTTTCGATCGTTCAATTTAAAACGGATATCCTTAGAGCGATTTATCGTTTGAATTAATATGTAAAGAATATTGAAAGAGAATGGGTATACAATACTAAAATTATTGAACGGACGTACCAACTTTTGATGTTTATGAGGCAAATCAGCTCATAAACACCACCTGGACCAACGTCCATAAGCAAAATTAGCTCATAAAAACAAAAAAATAGCTCTTAATTTGAATTTTATGAGTTTTTGTTCTTTATTTAACTACGGAATGAAGCTCATAAATATCAAATGTTTGCTCGAGCAGAATAACCCCATATTATGCCAGGCTCCGGTTTACCGTGAAAAATAACCACTTTTACATTGACGCACATATTGTGTATATTTACGCTATATTCACTGCGTCTTTACGTTATGTTAGTATAACGCAAATGACGTATCGTCAAAATATAATTATGCACGGCCGTACATTACTGTTTTTTACGAAGTCGCAAATGCGACACGGATGTGATAAAACTAAAGCATGCTCTTGCACATTTTCTCGTTATGCATGTAAATTAAATAACAAAAAAAGTACATAAATATTTAGAAATCACACATTAGAAAATGAAATGAAATATTTACCGTCTTCACCCTTTCAATAACGTCATTTACAATGTTTCGTGCTTTTTCTTTGAGATGGCCTTCGTCCTGCGAAAGAAAAATATACTTAACTCATAGCAATCCATAGTTTCTGTTTAAGTTTGAAAACTCTTGTCGGTAATAATAATTATAATAATAATATAATAATAATAATAATACGATATAATATGATTTTATTCAACTCGTTCAATAAATTTAGTATTAAACCTACACTCATTCATTATCCTCTATTTATTACACCGTAAGTCCCCACATCTGCAATATCATCATAAAAATACATAGAGGATATTCAAGTTTATTTTCTATAAATACAGGATTTATTTTTATCAAGTGGTATGAAAATTGATATTTCATGAATGGCGGTAGCCACGAGTGAAATATGATAATTTTCATACCACAAGATGAAGTTAAATCCTGTATTTATAAAAAAAACTCTTGATTTTGCTGTTTACTATATACATTTTCTCTGTTTAGACAATACAATTTTAAGGACTTCCACTTAAATTTTGTTATTGGCTGAATTTAGAAGAAAGTTGTCCGACAAGACACCAAAGAAAATACTGAAAATATCTTTCACTCCAGAAAAAAAATCATTTTTTACATTACAAATACGGAATATTTCTTTTATATTTCATTTATAAGTACATTATAAAATGTGTATTGATTAATAGACAGGACTGATTTTGAGAATTTGGCTCCCTATAAGATTCTAGAGGCATTTTGTAGTACAAGTGGTATCTTGGTGTATTTTACCTATTTAAGGTATGCTGAATCCGATAAAGGTGGAACTTTATCTTGACCATTGAAATGGCCATTTAAAATGACCACTAAAATGGCCGCCAAGTTTCTTTATCATAAATGGATGATATAGCAAATAAAACTTTTAAGGAATGGAAAAGCCTAAAATTTGTCACAAAGCATGTTCAGGTAAAAACAAATTAGACACCAAAACAGAATTAAAACAAAACAATCCAATATTGCCGAAAAATCCAAGATGGCGGACATTTTTTATAGGCCAATATATTAGTAATATAGATACTGAAAATTTTAAGGCGAACACTTCACTCTTTTCTGCCCTACCTGCTTTCATGTATTTTATCTGGCACTCTATGCAAGCATATTAAGGTAGTACACCCCTAATGCACTATCTCCACTTTGAAGTGTATTCAAATAGGCTAGAATCACTGTAAAGTGTATTGAAACTGAGGGGCGTGGGTTCGAACCCCAGAAGGGGCAACTTTTTTTCTTTCTTTTTTTTTCTTTTTAACATTTTTTATTAATCTCCCAGATCCCTAATGGAAGAAAAAAGTGTTTCACTTTAATTATATAATTTTTGTAGGTATATTTTTAATAAATAATGCCAAATTTAATAGCAAATATGATACCAGATATTTTCAAAAGTTAATTAAATAAAAACTACACGGTAAAAGTATTTTATATTTCGCATGATCAACCAATATACATTTAAGAAAATTTAGGTAAACTTTGAAAACAGCCCCTCATTGTGGAAAATTTTAGGAATATTTTAAATAAGGCTTTTACACATGGAAATGGTGAAATAAGTGTTAAAATTGGGTGGGGTAGGGTTACATTTTTATACATATTAAAAACATTTCGTTTAAAAACAATCATTTTGCTTGTTTAATTTGTTACCTAAATGTCATTATTTGTTTCTTAACAATGAGCAATAGGAAAACATTTTTCATAATGATGATATTATAGATTATTTAGAGTTTCCTCATTTCTGAAAAAACCCCTTCTAATGGCAAAGTTTAAGTTAAGAAAAATGTCCATAACTCATAAACCACACGGTAAATTTTGTTTAAATTTTGCATACAGGTGACATTTAAGGCATATAACTGTCCTATATTGTCAATTTTACAGTTCCTTATAGTGACCATTAGGGGCACCTTTCTCTGATTACTGTTGGGTGTTGGTGTTCGTTTTCTTGTTATCGGTCGTCGGTCGTCGGTCGTCGTCTTCGTTCTTCTGTTATCGGTCCTCGTCGCAGTTTTCTTGATGTGAGTTCTTCTGTTATTGGTCCTCGTCGCAGTTTTCTTGTTGTCAGTTCTTCTGTTATTGGTCCTCGTCGCAGTTTCCTTGTTGTGAGTTCTTCTGTTATTGGTCGTGATCTTCGTTCTTCTGTAATCGGTCCTGGTCTAAGTTCATTTGTTGTCAGATGTTCTGTTATCGGTCCTCGATTCCGTTGTCTTGTTGTCAGTTCTTCTGTTATCATGTTGTCAGTTCTCGGTCCCTGTCTTGTTCTGTTATCTGTTCTCGTCTTCGTTCTTCTGTAATTAGTCCTGGACTTCGTTTTCTTGTTATAAATTCTTCTGTCATCGGTTCCCGTCTCTGCTATTTTGTAATCGGTCCTTGTTTCTATTTGTCTGTTATCCATTCTCGTCTCCGTTGTCTTGTTGTCAGTTCTGTTATCGGTCTCTGTCCTGTTCTACTGTTAGAGGTCCACGTCTCTGTTCGCTTGTTGTCAGTTCTTCTGTTATCGAGCCCTGTGTCTGTTGTCAGTTCTTCTGTTATCGGTCTCTGTGTCTGTTCGCTTGTTTCAGTTCTCTGTTATCGGTCCCTGTCCTGTTCTTCTGTTAGCGGTCCGCGTCTCTGTTCGCTTGTCGGCAGTTTTTCTGTTATCGGTCTCTGTCTCGTTTGTTGTCAATTCTTCTGTTAACGGTCCCTGTCCTGTTCTTCTGTTATCGGTCGACGTCTCTGTTCGTTTATTGTCAGTTCTACTGTTCACTGTCCCTGTTTCTGTTCTTCTGTTATCGGCCCTCGTCTCTGTTCGCTTGTTGTCAGTTCTTGTCTCCGTTCTTCCTTCTGTTCGCTTGTTGTCAGTTCTTGTCTCCGTTCTTCCTTCTGTTATGGGTCGTCGTCTTCGGTCTTATACTTTCGGTACTTGTTTCCTGATCCGTTAAGGTCTTCTCTTGTATCTATCGTTCACGTCATACTGTGTCAATGTTTTGGTTTTGTCAGTCTTGTAGTCATTTATTCGTTCAGTGGAGTAGCGGGGGATCAACTCACGACCCCTTGATTTGAAGGCAGACAGTGTTTACCACTGCACCATAGCGCGCCCGCCTCTGAATAATAACCATTTTTGAAAAGCCCATTTTATACATTAAATACTATTTCAATGGCTAACAAAGGGTGTATTACAATTATATTTTAGCACCTTCTTAGCTATGTAGCCAACCCACGTGACTTTTATATTGGTCAATGAAAAATATTACTCGATTTACAAGTAATATTTTTATAGATAACTTTGCTGTTACTTTAAGATATCCTGGAAATTTATTGGAGGTTGCCAGGAATTCCTTTATGTTAATCAAATGGTGTGATTAATCTTCTTGTCGAAATTTTCCCAAAACCGTGCTGAATTCCAAAAATTGTCGAGAGCTTGCCACGTTAAAGCAAGCACACGTAGCAATCTCCCGGTTTCAGACATTTTATGACTTGATGAAAATATGGTGTTGTTATTGTTGTTGTTGATGTTGTTTGTTTCCTTGACTTTAACTTTAAATTTCAAATTAAAAACGCCACTTTTTATTTTTAAAACAAAGATGGTAAACATCTGTTGTTTTCTGTATTTTTTTAAGAAATTGATCAAGTATACACTTCTAAGTTTAAGATGACTTTTTAATATTATCGATTATCCATCGCTATACCTTAATTGCCGTTATAATTGAATAAAAAAAATGAACTTATGCAGATGTTATTTTCGGCAGAGAAAAAAAGCAAATACAAAAAAAACAACACACAAAAAACTTACATGCAGCATACATGTGTAATGTTCACAATGTGCTGAAAAACGGCTCTTTATTATTTCAACATTTCGCAAGTGACACTTTTTTATAAAAGAAATGGGACAGAAATGTTGTTGTAACCATTTAAAAAGTAGGATTTGTAAATTTGTAAGTTGGTTAATTTTTACCTAGTTTGCTCAACACTCAATTAATACATTTTTATATATAAACCTGAGGTACAGAAAATAGACACTCGTGAAATATACCTTTTGGTGCTCACTCGGTGAAATATATTCCGATCTTACACTGAACTAAACAAATATCCTCTATATAAATTATGCTACAATGTATATGATGAAGATAAACGAAAAGACCTTTGTTATTTGTATACTTACCAGTTTGTCCGAGCTTGTAACCATGTCAACTGCACCGTCTATTGCGGCATTTAACATTTCCAGTAATTCTGGATCACCTTGCTCTTAAATTAAAGAGAACTTAAAATAACGTATCTACATAGCGATTAAAGCAAACCTAAAATTTAATTAGTGCCTAGCTATGTTCGGGTATACAGAATAAATAATTAATTAATTGTGTTGCACAATGACAAAACCTCTTACGTTCAATCCAAGTTGATTTTAACGAAAAGATCTTTAAAAATTCAATGTAGTACAAAACAAACCTTAGTCTGTTTATATGTCCTTTGTGTGACTTTTAAGAAATATTTGCGTGGCGTTCAACCGCCGACACAATATGGAGTATTTACGTCATTTTGTTTGCCTAAAAGACATGTTTTTTGACACGTTAATTTATGCTGGTTTATGAACTCATTATATAACCGCGTATTTAAGAAATATATGCATACGTGATGTATATTTGGGGACTTCAAAGGTCCTAAGAACGTCTGTTAACTTCCAGGAACTATGAAACGTCTTCTTTGGAGAACGCCGTCGCTCTGAAAATTAAAAACAAAAGTTGACTTCAACTTAATCGTAATATATACATTATCTGAATTTGGGTCCTGAGAGCTGATTTTTTAAAAGATTGCATATGCGTAAGGTATGCTACTATGCACTTTAAAATTTCATTTGTGTCAATCAAACTTGTTCTGAAAGTTCACGATAAGGACGATATTGAATGAGTGTAAGTGCAATACTGAATTTATTGACCGGGCTTAATAAAATAATTATATTTTGCAAGCTTCTGGTGAGCACATTGTTATTTTATTCAACGAGTTCAATAAATTTAGTAATCAACTTATATGAATCTAATAGTATACTTTTTTATACCCCCGCACAACGAAGTTGTAAGGGGGGTATACTGGAATCAGCTTGTCCGGCCGTCCGGACGTCTCCCCGTCCGTCCGTCGGTTTTTCCTTGTCAGCCCAATAACTTGAGATTCCTTTGGCCCACATTCTTCATATTTGGCATGGAGGTTAGTCATGATTAATAGATGACCCCTATTGATTTATAGGTCACTGGGTCAAAGGTCAAGGTCACAGGGGCCATGAATTTAAAAAGCTTGTCCGCCCAATAACTTGAGATTCCTTTGATCCACAGTCTTCATATTTGGCATGGAGGTTAGTCGTGATTAGTAGATAACCCCTATTGATTTTGAGGTCACTGGGTCAAAGTTCAAGGTCACAGGAGCCTTGACTTAAAAAAAAAGCTTCTGACAAAGTGGTATGCGGGGGTATTCACGCCATGACAGTGGCAGTTCTAGTTGTAATTATGTTATACGCCAAAAATAGAACCATTTTTCAGTAAAAAAATTTTTTTTTTGACGCACATATAGTGTGACATTAAGCACGCTTTTACGCTGTTTGTATAATGTAAATGACGTCACGTAAAATTTACATGCACGGCCGTGCCATACCATTTTTTACGGATAAGTAAAAACTGTACGGATATGTGATGAAATATATAACTAATTAAGAGCTATATCTTATACACTCGTGGCAATGTATATGAATTTGTCAATGTAACGTTGGAGAGAGGTCAATGTTTTTAAAGGATAGATAGAGGGAGGATATTGAATGAGTGCAGGTTAAATACTGATTATATTGTTCAATAAATTCAATAATGAACCTACACGAATAGTAATATTCTATTGATCACATAACCAAAATAAAGATTGTTTTTAAGTACCAATTTTAAGTCTCAATTTCAGACGGAGGGATTATTTGAGGATGAAATAGTGGAGCCTTACTTCATTTTTGATACCCAGAGCAATAAATTTTGCATTCTTAATACCACAATTGTAGCTCGGGAAGTAGTTAATGCTGTGAATGAATTGAATATGAATAAAGCTGTTCCTGGTGAATTGATACATGGTCTCTTCTGTCTTTTGCCTTATATTTAGTGTTCATGTCAGGTCTATGTCAATTCAAATACCATTTCACAAAAAATGGAAGTTAAAATAATAATACATGAATGGGGTCATCTTCTTGTCAACACCCATATGTTATTGTTATATGCTGTACAAGTGTTGTATATGGGCCGGAGTATGAAAATAAACTTTGAAACCTTGAAACTTTCGTCTGGTCCATATTCTATAATCACCGGAAGCCAGTTTTTCACTGAGATTCTTGAAATATGATTCGTCTTTCTTCTGCTTCTTCTCTTTGGCCGTCTGCTTTAGATGCTCTATTTTCTCTGCAAAAGGTAACGCAAGCAGAAAACCTTAGACGGTTGCATTATGTGCATACATGTTCAAGCAATATAGGAGCTGAAAAAGTATAATCACACTTTAAAGGGACTCCACTGAGGTTTAAAAGCCTAAAAACATAACATTTGAATTTATTACATAAATGAGCTTGGGCACTTTAAACAGAAATATACATGCAAAGATAGTTCAGAAATATACTTTAAAATAAATTGAAAATCGTGTTTTTATGCTTTTCTTAATCTGATTTGAGTAAATAAGGTCACTTTTTACCATTTGAATGATTATTCTGGAAAAACGAAATGCGCGAATGATCTGAAAATTTGCACAAAGATTAGTGGTCTCAACCTACATCAAATGGTACATTTATCTGGAAAAAATATTTTCAGTCCCATCATGTCTAAAAACCTCAGTGGAGTCCCTTTAAAGGCCCAATATGCCTCAGATATGGTTTTATCTTTATTTCTCAATTCTTTATTTATTTCTTATTTTTGGTGTCTTGTTATAGTTTCTAAAAAGTTAATCATTAGCCAATTGCCTGAACCATCTTTTGCTTTTGCTGCTTTCTGGCAATTAGTATTAGTTATATTGATTTAAGTATTTTGTATCGAAGTCAAAATACTACTTTGTAATACTGTTTTGACAATAATTTCACTCCCAATTCTACTTTCTTCAAGTAATAAGCATGTAACAAGTTTTTAAACCGTTATTTAAATGTTATAAAACTCATATTTGCTTTTTCTTCAGAAGAACAAATGTATTCATTACTTAGGTATTATGTGCCTTTAAAGCGTTTGGGTGAAAGAAACAAACGTGAAATGAATAAATTACATTATTAATTACATATTAGAAAGAAAATAGAGGATGTTTGTTCAGTTCAGTGTGAGATCGGAAAATATCACTAAAAAGTATATTTCACGAATGGCGCAGCCACAATGGGAAAAATAGAACTTATGGTGTCCACAAGGTGAATATATTTCGATCTTACACTAAACTAAACAAATTTTCTTTTTATTATATGCAAATAATTTAAACGTTTAAAAAGACATTTGAACCTAATACTTAATAAAAATCGCGCCAAATAATAATACAACGTGACGTCATTTACAACGTCACGTCATAAAGTTGGTTTTCAGTTCTATGCACGCTAGTATTTCACTGAAACAAAGTAACGGGCTTAAATTTAAATCAGTGAAAAACATCAAATTGATAATTATTTCACTGTTTCAAACAGTGAAATATCAGTTTTATATTTCACTGATGTATTTCTATAAACCACTGAAAAGCATTGTAATAACTCTAGCATTACCATACCATTTTGTATTGTTCCAGTAGATACTTTGAAATTAACGACCCAAGTGATAATTTTACTGAGCACCTGAACTCGAGCATTTTAAAATTAATTAAAGACTGAAATAACATTTTAAAATGACCGAAAATGAGATAAAAACATTAAAACCACATCTTATACAATGTATCCAATAAACTTCAAGCGTTTACACCACGAAATAAAAATCATTATATATCGTACTCAATCTTATCAATTAAGTCACGATTTCATTATACTAATCCAAAACTAACCATTACTTAGAAAAAATGTTCTGACAAAATGTCCAAAAATGTTGGTGTGAAAAAATGTGAGACATTGTTGAGTACAATACTGATTCTATTAGACTAGTATACAGCTGCAAAGTCTGTATTAGACTCGGCTAGTGCCTCGTCCAATATAGGTTTGACAAAAGTGTACTCGTCCTAGAGAAAAAAAGTATTGTTGTCAACATTGTATAACAACCTCACAATATCTTACTTTGAATTTCTTCCCATTTCTTTGCAATCATTGTTTCCCGCTTTGAAATATTTTTTGCTCTTTCCTCCTCATTTTGTTTCATGGCCTCATTATAATGGTCTATCATCTCCTTCTGCGCCTGTATCCGAGTATTCCATGTTTCCATTCGCTGTAAATTAAAAAGAAATACACCCAATTTGACCAAAAAAATTGAGTACAATATGAAATATACAACGCTATTGAAACACCACTGCATTGGGCGTTACGATGTGCTATTTGAAATTTGGGGTTTGTGAATATTACTAGTTAGGACAGACATCAATAAAAATGTTTTGTTATCAATGTATAAGTATCATAATTTACATCAACTAGAGCTTTTAGGAGAACATCCCGTTCGAATATTCTCAGTGCTTGGCTTTGTTAATGTATAATTTTCTAAGTTCAAAAAGGGCCATAATTCTGTCAAAATTCATGTTAAAGTTATTGGCCATTGACATTGATTCCATATTATTATGCTCTTAAATAAGTGTGTGAATTTTCGACCAGTGTTCTTCAGTAGTTTTGGAGACGCAAAAACTCAACCCAAGTGTGACTGCGATGTCGACAACGACGCTAATGCCTAGATGAGTAAAATAACTCTCCCTATTTTTTGAATAGTCGAGCTAAAATGCAAACAAGGTTAATTTGTGTTATTATGATTCTATTAAATACATGTACTACAACTACAATTGATGAATTACATCTCCCTCTCTGACGGGAGTCCATCAAAATTAGGGTACGAAATGACTCGATAAAATTTTAGATGGCTTTATTATACGCATGCGCCGTAACTACTAATTACAGGCATTCCTGTCTTAGATATGAAATGAAAGTACTTGCCTCTGTTGACAAAACTATTTCTCAAAATAAGTCAATTTCTGATTAAAAGAGTATTTCAGCCACAAAAAAATAGCTTTTGCACAAATGGTCCATGATGCGGCCTTAAGTAACGGGGTAAACTGTATTTACCGTTAATTCTGTCCTCATTTTTCGCTGCGTTTCTTTGTCTTCATCAAGTTTCCTCTTCATTAAATCTCTCTGTTGAATTCGTCGTAACATTGATAATTTTCTCTCCTCACTCTGAAACAAGTTGTATTTATACTGATAAAATCAAATACAAAACAAAAATGATAGCTAGATTTTGTGTTTGGGTCTCCGATCTTTCAGACTTGTTATATATGTATCCGTAACGGCAGGTGTGATTGGTTACGTATCAGCTATAATACGTTACTATTTATATTCTATCAAAGAGTTGATATATATTTTTTTTCCGCCAGGGACTTTGGATTCTTTCATGTGAGTAAGCTATCTAGCTAGATTATGGAACGTCGCTGATTCTACTCAGGTAAAGAATGCATAGAGAAGCACCTGAGGTCTTCTTTTCCAAGTTAAACTGGAGAGACGCCTTATGACCTTTGTTGCGTTAATGTGACGTAAAACCCAACTAAAACGTCTCACAAACAGACTAAATTTCTGTCATGAAAGTTCTCAATTAAAGTCGGGTTTTATCTTTTGAAGGACAACCCCTTTTCCTGGCTGTGTGAACGTTTCAGGACATATAACCTAAACATTTCATATCAATATTTAAATGCTCGGTATATATGCTAACTCGTATATTCTTCCCGAGGAAAAAACATGATTTGAGACAAAATAGATCTAGTAAATCTTCTGATTCATGCATTCAGGACTGACTAATATCATGATTCTTTTCTGGACAAAAGCTTAACCAAAATCAACTCTTGTAAACATTGATTGGTTGAGTCCTATGTATTCATTCAAAATCAACCAATGGCAAAGATTCTTTGTTATACCTACCTCCCTCTGATTCTGCAACATGGTAATTTGGCGCCTCTCTGCTCCTTCGCGTTGTTTTCTCTCTTTATGTGCCATTTCCTCTCGAACTTGGCTCAACCGTTGCTGAAGACTGTCCGACTTCCGTTCCATGTACTGTTTTAATCTGAAAAAAAAACAACAGTTAACAAAAATCATTCATTATGGGCGTTTTCTTTCATAAATGGAGCTATTACAATTGTATCTTGTAAATACAATAACAGTGTTTTGTTTAATCAAAAGTCAGACCCTAATATATAAATTATAATTCTAGGTCCTCGCCCATATGCTGTATTCGAGTGGCCAGGGTATAAAAAAGTGAACAGAAGCTATCACTTATTTCTATCAAAGCCTGTCCTTTTTCGAAACTGCATTAGTTAAATGGGCGATTTAAATACAGAAATATCCAGCGTGCTTAATTAATTGGATGTTACATTCTGTTCTTTTTGATGTTTTGCAAGGCAAGGTCACTTTCGACCTAGCAAAATTCACTCTAGTAAATCAAGACCTTTTTTAAAATAAAATAAACCTGATATGTATTTTCATGAAGTCAATTTTATAAACAAAAACAATATACTTAGTTGTATCTCTTTCCTTCTGCTGGTGAAGTCGTCTGCGAACAAGTGTACCACGTGATGCTCTCTTCTGCAATTCCGCTCTGTCGTGTTCATTCTGTTTATGTCTTCTTTCAAGCTTTATAAAGACAAACCGATTCGGTTGAGATATTTATTACTACACTGAATTATGAGAGCAAAGATGCACATCTTAATGTGCTGGCCTTTAGATGAGTAAAACATGTATGATAACGAAAAAAGTTAAAGGAACTCCACTGAGGTCCAGAAGCATAAAATTTTATTTTTTTGTATATATATCAGCTGGTGTACTTTTAATAGAAATGCAAAAGATAGTTAAGAAATATACTAGAAAATAAATTGAAAATCGTTTTTTTTTTCTATTCATAGCCCGCTTTGAGTGTTTATTGGGTCATTTTTCACAATTCGAATAATTATTCTGGAAAAACGGAATGAGCAAACGATCCAAAATTTTGCACACAAGTTATTGGTTACATCAATGCAAAAATTAGTCTGAGGTCCGTCATGTTAAAAAACTTAGTTGCGTCCCTTTAAAGGCCCATTAAGCCTTAAATAAAAAACCAAGAACTATAAGAAATCAACCCCTCATCACTCATGATATTTTCACTCATGATATATTCAGGTGTTTTACCTCCCCTTTCCTCTCCTTTGCTATTTCCAGGAAGTAGATATGTCTAAGATACCGTCTGTACTCATTGAACTCTTTCAGAGAGCACAAGACCTTTCCATCCTCCGAAATAAACCCCTTTTTGATAAGGTGCCGGTGCATCATACTCGATTTGAAATGAGTCTTCAAATGCGGGTCGTGCAGGGGTTGGTACTCGTTGGAGATGTAGTTGCCGTTTGGGTCACGAAGGTCAAAATCAAGTTCTTGTTTACACTGATGTTTCTAAAACAGCATACAGTTTGGTTTAATAAGATTATGGTAATTATATTTATTAAATTATATTTATCAAATTGGCTATTTATCTACCATTTTGAAAAAGTGCATATTAATTAAAACAATAACCCAAACAAACAAAAAAACAGCACAGCGGCTATTATATTACAGTAAATTCCTTATTAAAGCTGTTTTGATCGATTCTACAAGAGAGACCCTATATACTTTTTTTTATTAAATGGCTCTGGTTCTAGGCACTGCTTTATACATTTATATTTTTATCTACTACACAGCTTGTATCAAAATAGAGAAAACAGAATCCCTGAAGACATCCCTCTGCTACGTATAGGCATAACTTCTCCTGCAAATCAGACAAAAGTTTAAAAATGGGTGCGATTATGTAACGAACAATGTTTGAATGAAAGTAAAGGCAAAAGCTTCTATTTAGCTATTTAGTTGAAACTTACCGGTTTCCCTAATTTTGTTGTGTAAAGTAAAACAGAACCCTTGGGGCTTGACATCATTGGTAATTTTGAATCTAAAGACAAGTTCGACCATACTGGCAATCCGTCTCCAGCTGGGATGAAATCTATTTTGTCGCCGAGCGTCTTTTGTCGCCGATTTAACATTAGTCGATCCATTTTAACAGCACCATACGAAAATATATTGACGAAATGATTTTAACGGTCTGACAAAACGTTTTTCTCCGCCATGACACTAGTTTAATGACGTCTTGTTGACGTGACGTCGTTTCGCGGAGCAAGCATTTTCCCGCGGAAAGCATGTTTGATTGCCACTGTGCATCAAATGAATTTCAGTATTTTATTCCTGCATTTTTCCTGGTGTTTTTAGATTTAGCGTATTACAACAATTACTTCAATTTATTTTTTTACGTTTTTAGAAATAAAGATCGAAGTTTGATTAGTATTTCCAGGCGATATTTATAGTGCCTGAAAGCTTTCAAGCAGGGTTTTTCAAATAGAATCGTTTTGAAAGACCCTGTTTCAAGAGAATATTTCTTTAACATTTTTTGGTAGATGTATTTGACCTACAAAGAAAGTTATAAGTCGTTCGGCGAAGTATTAAGTTCTCTTTGCCATAGAAAAATAACGCTCGAACATCCTTACATTACATGCACGTGTTCCGCAAAAACAAATACCACAAAAAACGTTACGCTCTATCTCTCTCTCTCTCTGTGTGGATAAAATATTAAATGTGCTACACTTAACAGTCAAGACATAAATGGCTTCAGCATTTCATTTTAGCTGGTACATGTATTTTTTTGACTAAGTACTTTGACAACATGTGCCAAATTATCCCACCCAATAGTTAAAGATCTAGATCTAAAATATATATTAGATATAACGAGAATCTATGTTTTTCATTGTATCTAGATAAATTGGCAAAAATACTAGATCTTTAATGTTCAATCTAGATCTAGCTGGTTTCTATATGGGGATTGCTCGTGAATATATATATTTTTTTTTTGGTTATATTCGAATTAGATCATGTTTTGGATTATTTTCTACAGTTTTTCTTGGGTGCCAGTACTTTTTTCATGTAGGGGCTAGGCTTGTGCACTCTTTTTACGCTGGAGCGAAATGCACGCGAAACTGAACTTTTTTATTGACCCTCAAAGTGATTTGCACAGTAAAGTGAATTTCATGCTCAACCGAGAAAGAAAAATAATCAAAATAATAATAAAAAGAACTTAATATTGAAAAAGATCATGTCAGAAAAGGGATCGGGTAATTTCTAGTTAGATCTTTTTTAATTTGATTTAATTATGATTTACTTTTTAGAGATCTACGTCTACTGTACAATAGATTATTCTATCTTGTTGCACGATTTTCAAAACAACCTGTGGCTTTCTGAAGGGGAAAATATAGCGCGATAAATCAAAAAAGGAGAAATAAAATACCAACAACTGAGAATGGAATTTACCCAACATTTTATAAAATTTTCAATTTTATTTCAATTTAACATGCATGGTACATAGCAGAGGCTATCTATAGGAACAGCTTTATCTTCTAGGTGATATTAGTCAAGATTGTTAAGTCATGGTTCTGGTGAAGAATGTGCACAGGGCATATATTTTAGGGGGAAATTTTGCATTTTTAGGGGAAAATATACAAATTTTTGGCTAGGGTAAACAGTCTTTACAAGGATTTTTTGGGCTTATTTTATAGCCATTTTTGGGTCATATTCCCAATTAAAAATAGTATTATTTTCCCAATCCATAGGAAAAAATTCCCAATTGAAAGTTACAAAATTAAAAATATTGAATAAAAAATTCTAAAATCTTTGAAAATAAGGGCTTCTACACTGTAATAGTGCTAAAATGTTTGAAGATGTCCCCCACATTTTTTTCAAATCCCCCACATTATTCAGTTGAGAGGGGGACAATCCCCCATAATTTTGAAATTCTAGATGCAACACTGTTGTATTGCGTTTAGATGATACAATTAAATTATTTTTATAAAAAAAGTTCAATAAATTCGTCATATCAAATGTGTCAAATTCTCAATCATAATGAAAGTAACTGGTGCAACAAGTTGCTCTTTATTTTCTCATGGAGTATTTTCATTGGTCTGATATTTTCACATTTCTGTTGTTTTTAGCTCGACTATTCGAAGAATATGAGAGCTATTGTAGTCGCCCCGGCGTCGGCGTCTGCGTTGGTTAAGGTTTTTTGTAAAGTCAAATATCTCAATTATTGCTTGAGATATTCAATTGAAACTTACAATACTTATTTATAGTAACAAGGTACATCAGATTGACAAGTTGGATAACTCTGCCTACAATATTGACAGAATTATGCCCCTTTTTAACTTAGAAATTTTGGTTAAAGTTTTTTGTAAAGTCAAATATCTCAATTATTGCTTGAGATATTCAATTGAAACTTACAATACTTATTTATAGTAACAAGGTACATCAGATTGACAAGTTGGATAACTCTGCCTACAATTTTGACAGAATTATGCCCCTTTTTAACTAAGAAATTTTGGTTAAAGTTTTTTGTAAAGTCAAATATCTCAATTATTGCTTGAGATATTCAATTGAAACTTACAATACTTATTTATAGTAACAAGGTACATCAGATTGACAAGTTGGATAACTCTGCCTACAATATTTGCAGAATTATGCCACTTTGGAACTTAGAAATTTTGGTTAAAGTTTTCTTGTAAAGTCAAATATCTCAATTTTTGCTTGAGATATTCAATTGAAATTTAAAAATACTTTTTTATAGTAACAATGTTCATCAGTTTGCAAAATTGCATAACTCTGCCTGCAATATTTGCAGAATTATTTGCTCTTTTGAAACTTAGAAATTTTGGTTAAAGGTCTTCAAAGATATTTACTTGAAACTTTACACATGTACTAAGGGTCATAATTTGAGGGTCATAATTGTATGTCACTGACCAAGTTCCATAACTCTATCTTGCATTCAGGCTGATTCATATCCCCTTTTCTACTTTAGTCTCTTGGTTAATGTTTACATGCAAGTTTTACATATCTCAATAACTATTAAAGATATTTATTTAAAACTTCACATATGAATTTAGGGTCATAATTGTAGGTCACTGACAAAGATCCATAATTCTATCTTGCATTTAGGCTGATTTTTCTCCCCTTTTTCAACTTAGAAATTCATGGTAAAGTTTTGCTTGTAAGCTGTTATCTCCATAACTACTGAAGGGTTTGTGCCTTTTTTGGGACAATTTTATGTATTCATAATAATAAAGCAGTGATTTACTTGATAAAACATCTTAATAACAAGCCTTTGTACCTTTTCTGTCAAATTTATGTATTCATAGGTAATTAGTATTATTATACTCAATAAAACACCCTTGTGAAATTGTAACCTTCCGAATAGTCAAGCCAATACTGTATAATTAGACTCTCTCTAAGGCCTATAACATGAATTAATGAAAAAAAAATTAGCCCTTTTGTGAACTTAAAAAATTTAACATTATCAAGGCTCTTTTACTATCAAGCACTTAGAATAGTCGAGCGTGCTGTCCTACCGACAGCTCTTGTTATAAGTATATTTATCATTTTTCAGAGCCGCTGATATCTGACAGTAAGCAAGCACAGCAGTTTAATGGACCCCCACCACCATGTTACACAAGTCAGCCTAATTATGTTCCCCCGCCGCAGGCAGGATATGTTATTCAAGGTCAACCAGCTCAGCAAGGTTTTGTTGTACAGCCTCCACCACCTTATGGTGTCCAGTTTACCAATGGCCAGGTATATGCGTAATGATCTTTTGTTGCCAGTAGAAACTAACTCATGAATAGAATTAAAGCTGCACGCCTCCAGATGAGCCAAAATATTTCAAGAAAATCATTATTGAGAAAAATGTACTAAAATTTTAAGAAAGTTAAAATAGTCAAGATCCAAGTGATATTTTACATGTTCTGTGCAGTTTAAGACTGATATTGCAGTATTTTATCAACATATTTTTACTGCGTTACTAATGCAGTAACGGCTCTATTTTTGCATATGTTGACCAAAAAGTGGTCATTTTCTTGGATTGTTAGTGCCGATTGCAGTATGTAAATTACTTTTTTTGTTCACCTTACAATATTTTACTTTTATATACATTTCTAAAATTTTCATGAAAATTGAATTTGGTGGCGTGCTGCTTTTAGACTTAGATGCCATAATTGTCTTATTGTTTCAGGAATAGGTAAGGGGCTCTGTGGTAACTCGCTGGACTAATGATCCAGAAGTCACAGATTCGATCCCCAAATTCTTGTCTGATAATACTAATAAATGATCTCTTGGAGAAGACCATAAGAACCAAGGTCTAATAAATTGGTGTTTTACTCTAGGCATGTATGAAGAATCGGGATCACCTCTGGAATCGTGAACTTCTGTTTCAGTACAGTAAACCATATAAAAGAGCAAAATAAAAGTCATGGTCTGATTGTGATAGCATCACAGATATGGGTAACTGAAATGCAACATTAAATAAACCCAAAGTAAAAAACAATGCCATTCCTTATAATTGACCTAAATGAATGTGTCAACAATAGTGGACAATATCAACCCCAACTATGTCTCTTGGACAATATTGACCCCAACTATGTCTCTTGGACAATATCGACCCCAACTAGTCTCTTGGACAATATTGACCCCATTATGTCTCTTGGACAATATCGACCCCAACTATGTCTCTTGGACAATATCAACCCCATCTATGTCTCTTGGCCAATATTGACCCCAACTATGTCTCTTGGACAATATCGACCCCATCAATGTCTCTTGGACAATATTGACCTCAACTATGTCTCTTGGACAATATGGACCCCAACTATGTCTCTTGGACAATATTGACCCCATCAATGTCTCTTGGGCAATATTGACCCCAACTATGTCTCTTGGACAATATCAACCCCATCTATCTCTTGGACAATATTGACCCCATCAATGTCTCTTGGGCAATATTGACCCCAACTATGTCTCTTGGACAATATCGACCCCAACTATGTCTCTTGGACAATATCGACCCCAACTATGTCTCTTGACAATATTGACCCCATCAATGTCTCTTGGGCAATATTGACCCCAACTATGTCTCTTGGACAATATCAACCCCATCTATGTCTCTTGGACAATATTGACCCATCAATGCTCTTGGGCAATATTGACCCCAAACTATGTCTCTTGGACAATATCAACCCCATCTATGTCTCTTGGACAATATTGACCCCATCAATGTCTCTTGGGCAATATTGACCCCAACGATGTCTCTTGGACAATATCAACCCCATCTATGTCTCTTGGACAATATTGACCCCATCAATGTCTCTTGGGCAATATCGACCCCAACTATGTCCCTTGGACAATATTGACCCAACTATGTCTCTTGGACATTATCGGCCCCAACTATGTCTCTTGGACAATATAGACCCCAACTATGTCTCTTGGACAATATTGACCCAACTATGTCTCTTGGACATTATCGGCCCCAACTATGTCCGTTGGACAATATTGACCCCAACTATGTCTCTTGGACAATATTGACCCAACTATGTCTCTTGGACAATATCGACCCCAACTATGTCCCTTGGACATTATCGACTACAACTATGTTATTTGGACAATATAGACCCCAACTATGTTTCTTGGACAATATCGACCCCAACTATGTCTCTCGGACAATATTGACCCCAACTAGTCTCTTGGACAATATCGACCCCAACTAGTCTCTTGGACAATATTGACCCCATCAATGTCTCTTGGGCAATATTGACCCCAACTATGTCTCTTGGACAATATCGACCCCAACTATGTCTCTTGGACAATATAGACCCCAACTATGTCTCTTGGACAATATCGACCCCATCAATGTCTCTTTGACAATATTGACCTCAACTATGTCTCTTGGACAATATCAACCCCATCTATGTCTCTTGGACAATATTGACCCCATCAATGTCTCTTGGACAATATTGACCCCAACTATGTCTCTTAGACAATATTGACCCCATCAATGTCTCTTGGACAATATTGACCCCATCAATGTCTCTTGGACAATATTGAACCCAACTATGTCTCTTAGACAATATCGACCCCAACTATGTCTCTTGGACAATATCGACCCCAACTATGTCTCTTGGACAATATCGACCCCATCAATGTCTCTTTGACAATATTGACCTCAACTATGTCTCTTGGACAATATCAACCCCATCTATTGTCTCTTGGACAATATTGACCCCATCAATGTCTCTTGGACAATATTGACCCCAACTATGTCTCTTGGACAATATGGACCCCAACTATGTCTCTTGGACAATATTGACCCTAACTATGTCTGTTGGACAAAATCGACCCCAACTATGTCTCTCGGATAATATCGACCCTAACTATGTCTCTTGGACAATATAGACCCCATCTATATCCGCTGGACAATATTGACCCCAACTATGTCCGTCGGACATCATTGTCCCCAACTTTGTCCGTTGGACAATATCGACCCCAACTATGTCCGTCGGACATCATTGTCCCCAACTATGTTCGTTGGACAATATCAACCCTAACTATGTTCGTTGGACAATATCAGCCCCAACTATGTCCGTCGGACATCATTGTCCCCAACTATGTTCGTTGGACAATATCAACCCTAACTATGTTCGTTGGATAATATCAGCCCCAACTATGTTCGTCGGACAATATCGACCCTAACTATGTCTCTTGTGTGTCATAACAGATAAAACTAGACTTGATTATCATTGTTATGACTTGATAATGATTATTTATCATTACAGGTAGGAGTGCGGAATGTTGTACCTTTGCCACCAGCCCAGGATCACTTGCTTGCCGCCATTCTCGTCACGGTGTTCTGCTTCTTTCCCACAGGGATTCTTGCCATTATACGGGCTTCAGATGTAAGTTATTATTTCATTTGAGGATGCTATCATAGAGCTTGCTATCCAGCTTGCTTAGGAATCGTTGGTGGTTCTACTGGGATCTCTGTCTGTGTCTGATTGAATGCACAGAGGGGCAACTGAGATCCTCCTCCATCATTTAAAGCTTAACAGATACCATGTGACCATAACTTTGCTGGTTTGATGTCAAAGTCAACCGGTAAATCTGATGTATAATATTAAACTGTATCTAAAATTGTTGGTACTTTTAAGTAAATTCAAATTATCATATACAGGAGCCACACATATATATAAACAAATTAAACGTAAAATTAAGACTCTGTTTTAAAACTCATCTGTTTTTGGCGTTAGTAAAAATTTCTAGCTAAATCATAGTTGGTTGCTAATTGGTTCTACTCTGATGCTAGCTGATCTAAATGTGCCTTTATAAATACTTTTTTAGCTCACCTGTCACAAAGTGACAGGGTGAGCTTTTGTGATCGCTTTTCGTCCGGCGTCCGTCCGGCGTCCGTCCGTCCGTAAACTTTTACTTTAAATGACATCTCCTCATAAACCACTAAGCCAATTTCATCCAAACTTCACAGGAATGTTCCTTTGGTGGTCACCTTTAAAAATTGTTCAAAGAATTTAATTCCATGCAAAACTCTGGTTGCCATGGCAACCGAAAGAAAAAACTTTAAATATCTTCTTTTAAAAAACCATAATAGCTAGAGCTTAGATATTTGGCATGAAACATCATCTAGTGAGTGTCTACCAAGTTTGTTCAAATAAAAGCCCTGGGGTCAAAATTGGCCCCGCCCCGGGGGGTCATTGATTTTCCCTATATGCATATAGTAAAAACTTAAAAAATCTTCTTTTAAAGAACCCAAAGAGCTAGAGCTAAGATATTTAGCATGAAACATGTTCTAATTGGTGTCTACCAAGTTTGTTCAAATAAAAGCCCTGGGGTCAAAATTGGCCCCGCCCCGGGGGTCATTGATTTTCCCTATATGCATATAGTAAAAACTTAAAAAACCTTCTTTTAAAGAACTCAAAGAGCTAGAGCTTAGATATTTGGCATGAAACATCTTTTAGTGAGTGTCTACCAAGTTTGTTCAAATAAAAGCCCTTTGGTCAAAATTGGCCCCGCCCCGGGGGTCATTGATTTTCCCTATATGCATATAGTAAAAACTTAAAAATCTTCTTTTAAAGGACTCAAACAGCTAGAGCTTAGATATTTGGCATGAAACATCTTCTAGTGTGTGTCTACCAAGTTTGTTCAAATAAAAGCCCTGGGGTCAAAATTGGCCCCGCCCCGGGGGGTCATTGATTTTCCCTATATGCATATAGTAAAAACTTGAAAAATCTTCTTTTTAAAGAACCCAAAGAGCTAGAGCTAAGATATTTAGCATGAAACATCTTCTAATGGGTGTCTACCAAGTTTGTTCAAATAAAAGCCCTGGGGTGAAAATTGGCCCCGCCCCGGGGGGTCATTGATTTTCCCTATATGCATATAGTAAAAACTTAAAAAATCTTCTTTTAAAGAATTCAAAGAGCTATGGCTAAGATATTGAGCATCAAACATGTTCTAATAGGTGTCTACCAAGTTTGTTCAAATACAAGCCCAGGGGTGAAAATTGGCCCCGCCCCGGGGGTCATTGATTTTCTTTATATGTGTTTAGCAAAAACTTTAAATCTTCTTTGAAAAAACCCAAATAGCTAGAGTTTAGATATTAAGCATGAAACATCTTCTAGTAAAGTGTCTACAAAGTTTGTTCAAATAAAAAGCCCTGGGGTCAAAACTGGCCCGGCCCCAGGGGTGTCATTGTTTTTAATTATATGTGTATATTAAAAACTAAAAAAAATCTTCTTTTAAAAAGCCCAATGAGCTAGAACTTAAATGTTTAGCATGAAACATCTTCTTATGGTTGTCTACCAAGTTTGTGCAAATAAAAGCCCTTGGGTTAAATTGGCTCTGCAATGTTGGGGGAGTGGGGGTTGGGGGGGGCCTATATACAGGTGAGCGACCTCAGGGCCATCATGGCCCTCTTGTTTGTTCATACCATGGACAGTGGTTATGCTTGTTTGTTATTGCTACTAGGAGCCGATTTATTTTGTCCATATTCTACAAATGGTGGATATGCTATCTAAATATTTTAAGTTCTATTACGTAAAGCTAGAAAATCGTTATATAACCTAACAGTGTTATTGTGACCTATATGATTGAACTGTATTTTCACTAGTACGCCAATCCTTTTGGCCGAGCAAATTCTCAGCCTCCCCCCCCCCCCCCCCCCACAAACATAAAAATATTGCTTACAAAGCCATTGCATTAAATGAATATATTGACGTCAATTTGTAAGTCAGACCAACATTTTCAGGCTAAAGCCGCAGCATCATATGGGGACATGCACACAGCCGAACGTCACTCGAAAAGTGCGAAGAAGATGATTAACATCAGTATAATTGCCGGTATTTTTTGTACGCTGCTGATGATTGCCCTCTTTGTGGTGTATTTCATGGTTATAACAAACAACATCAGGAGAGCTTACAACAGTAACGACTACTAACATCAGACCGTCAATTTTTACACCCTGAACCTCCTAAATTTGTATAATGGACTAGCCCCTGCATTGACAAAAGAAGAGTGGATTTGAATTTTTAGGGATTTTAGTATCAAAATACAAGAATTAAGCAGCTTGAAGGTGATAAAAGGTGATTGACCTTTGCCACCACTGTAGAGCCGGTTCTGCGTGCCCCTCCGCACAGTCTGACCAGGATCTCTGCACTATTGCTATATGTAGCTCAACTTTTGTAATTTGATACTAATATGCTGTAATTTTCGGTTCATAAGGGGGGCACATCCATTACATAAATTTGGCATGTTAAGCGTTAAAAAAAAGTTTTGTGCTATATGGACATAGACTTTAGTTTATGTTGTGTATATATCTGATGTTTTGGGCCAATGACATTGCTTTTTGCCTGGCACGTGACTTTACCTTGTTTATAAGGTCATATAACTATTTGGTATTAAAACTATTTAGTTAATATCACATAATATGTACCAGTGGTTAGAGATTGTACTTACCAAGGTTCGGCGAATCAAATTTCTCCGTGGTTAAGTAAAATATTAATATTGTTAATTTGTGTTGGTTGATTTTGAAAACAAACAAACAAGAAAAAAAACAAATGCAAAAAAGAGAAATATGAAATTGAACACCAGTTTTCATGCCCTATAAATAGTGAAAAAAATTGACTCTTTATTTTCAATTTGAATAATCTTGTGTTTTTTGCCAGTTTGTGTGTTTTTAAGAAATTCCTTGGAAAGAAGAATTATGCTGTTATAATTTCAAAAAGCTTTGACTTATTTCCTAAAAGCTAAAGATATCATGACGTAATAACATCTTTTGTACATTATTATAAATGCTTTTCAAATTATACTTATATTTTTGGAAAGAAATGAAGTATATAATCAGTATTTCATTGGTGAGATATAATTTATATTGGAAATTGGTTTATATTTTTCATTGTAATTGGAACATATTGATAAATATGGTTGTGTTGTAAGAGTTTATTTTTCCCATGTGTTTCATGTTAATTTCAATTTTCTATTTTTAGCTCGACTATTCGATAAGAATAAGTAGAGCTATTGTAGTCACCCGAGCGTCGGCGTCAAGTCGGCGTAACCACTTATGTTAAAGTTTTTGTAATCGTTCAAATATTTTCAAAGTCCATTGACATATGGCTTTGAAACTTTGCACACTTGTTCACCATCATGACCCCAACCTGTAGACAGGAGGAGGTAACTCTATCAAGCATTTTGACAGAATTATGCCCCCTTTTCAACTTAGAATTTATGTTAAAGTTTTTGTAATACCTCAAATATTTTCAAAGTCCATTGACATATGGCTTTGAAACTTTGCACACTTGTTCACCATCATGACCCCCACCTGTAGACAGGAGGAGGTAACTGTATCAAGCATTTTGACAGAATTATGCCCCTTTTTCGACTTAGAATTTACGTTAAAGTTTTTGTAATAGTTCAAATATTTTCAAAGTCCATTGACATATGGCTTTGAAACTTTGCACACTTGTTCACCATCATGACACCAACCTGTAGACAGGAGGATGTAACTCTATCAAGCATTTTGACAGAATTATGCCCCTTTTTCGACTTAGAATTTACGTTAAAGTTTTTGTAATACCTCAAATATTTTCAAAGTCCATTGACATATGGCTTTGAAATTTTGCATACTTGTTCACCATCATGACACCAACCTGTAAACAGGAGTAGGTAACTCTATCAAGCATTATTTTTTACTATCAAGCACTAGAATAGTCGAGCGTTGCTGTCCTACCGACAGCTCTTGTTAGAATTCTTATTCTATTTTAAGAATTCTTATTCAGATATAAGCTTGTATTATTTACTCACTTTAAACAAAACAATTCTGCCATACTACTGTTTATATATCTATTTATACATGTATATTGTGTTCTAGTCAATTTAGAGTTGTAAAAATCCATGAAAAGGATGCTTTGGAAGCATTTAAAGAAGGATTTATTTTGCTGATCATATGTAATATATTCCTGTTTTCATTATTTTTCTCATGTAACAAACTCAAGCACACCTTCTATGATAATGTAGGTTCTGTTGTTGGCCTCTAAATAGCCTAGGTGTTAAGGTTGCACACTCTGAAATACTTGTTCCTTTCCGCTGCAGGTTAGAAGTCTGAAAAGATTTTAAATTCTTGTTAGGTAGGCAGCTCTCAAAATAATTTTGTGTCCGCTCTGTATCTTTTGAACCGATAGAAAGAAAGTAAAACTTTTTGGCAGAAATATTTCTTACAATAAAATGATGTGCAGAAGCTGAAAACAAAAAATATGATAGGGTACTATTGTTCTAATTCTAAAGCGGATGACAGTCAGAACTCCTTAACTCATCTTATTCCCATTCAAATAAAGAAGGCTTTTGGTGGGAAAGTTTATTTTTCACAATGTTTAACTTTAGAAAGAGACACCATCTGAATGAACACCAATAAGACCCAAACCTCGTCTTCTTAGTGGCTTTTACTGTGCAGTTAGGGGTTAAGTCCTTCTAAAATTAAAAGAAGTGAACTTGTTATTGCATTAAGGTGACTACCTTTTCTATGTGTCATTAATCATATGGTATTTGCCAAAAGATTTATGTAGATTTTTGTTACATGTTTAAAGGCTCATAAAGCCTCAGAAACAAATGAATTTTTACTTCTTTAGAAAGGACAAACAAGAAATTGAAAATTCTTAAATAATGGTTTCAGAGAATGTTAGATGCTAATGTTACTTGAAGAATATAGTGCTAAATGGCATGAAAGTAGCAAAATATGAACAGATAGGTATTTTGACTTCCATACAAAATACACTAAGTCACTAAAACTGTACTAATTACCAACAATTAAGAGAAGAAAAAGATGTTTCTGGTATTTGGCCAATGGAAACTATAAAAATACACCAAAAATAAAAATATTTTGAGAAATAAAAATAAAAGCATTTCTGGGGCATAATGGGCCTTTAAAGTATGAATAACATTGCATATCATACCATGTTTAGCTTTTTTATTTGTATTTGGGACAGGTATTGTTTCAATAGAAGTTTTAGTGAATTCAGCTCATCATTTTAATAATCACTAAGCTTTTAATAATCACGTTTCAATTAACACACATGTATGTTTAAAATAAACTGATGGGAAATAGATATAAGATGAAGTAATACAAACTTTTTTGGTGCTTTTATGTCAATCTGAATTTTCTTTTGAAACTTACAAAAATCAAAGTGCTGAAAGCACTGGATGTGACTTCAAGTGTCATGTTTAGTGTTTTTTTTCCAGAATCTGATACGGGTTTATGTGATATTGTTAGATACTGTGTTTATTAAACAGTTTGTGATACATGTAAATGGCCAAGTGTTGATAAGTGGAAGCTAATTTCTGTTTTAGTTTTTTAACAAGTTAAACAAAAAACAACAAAAAACAAATAAAAACCAAAAAAAAAAAAAAAAAAAAACATTAAAAGAAAATACTGTTGCTTCTTTGAGATTATAGCACCATTTTAAATACAAATGTATTTTTTCTAGTATTTTTATATTGTGTTCCAAGCCAAATAAGGATATTCTAGACATAAATAAAAGCACCTGAAATGCAATCAAGCCATTTTTGGGGGCTTGATCAGAACTTTTTATTTTGAATCTCATAGTCTTAGTGACATTATAGTAACATTATGTTGCCAAATTTTTAAGATTTGAATTTTTTTGTTGTTATTGTTAATGTACTCTTTTTGTATTTGCAGCAGTTGATAATTTCTCCATGTTAAGAAATTTGTAGTTTGTATCATAGTTAGAACATTCTCCATAATGTGTGTTCAATGGAGCAGTACTGCAAATGTGCAAATCAAAACAAATGTGTATTCAGAACTTTTAGTCTCTGAAAATTTTTCTTAAGTAGCCAAAGTTTTTTAAAAAATCTAAAAAGGCAGCTGTCCCTTATATGTAGATTCCATAATTTATCGTATATATTTAGATATTAAGTTACATGTCCATTTGGAATTATTATTAAATTATTAATTAGTTATATTTTCTTGCAAACACTAATTTTTAACCAGGTTTTCTGAAGGAAAAAACTGGTTATTAGATTGAGGTATGTCGGCGGGCGGATGGGCGGACGGGCGGGGCGGGCGGGCGTACACAATTTCTTCTGTGCGCAACTCCTCCTACATTTCTCAACGGATTTTGACCAAAACTTTCACAGAAGCTTTGTCATCAAGTGCCCTGGTGCATATTGTCGGGGTTTTGCCATTGGATAATATTTGACCTAATTATGGCCCTTTGTTTTTTTTCCTTATATAGAATGTATAGTGAACAATTTCTGCTGTGCGCAACTCCTCCTTCATTTCTCAACGGATTTTGACCAAACTTTCACAGAAGCTTTGTTATCAAGTGCTCTGGCACATATTGTCCGGGTTTTGCGATTGGATAATATTTGACCTAATTATGGCCCTTTGTTTTTTTTCCTTATAAAGAATATATAGTGAACAATTTCTTCTGTGCGCGACTCCTCTTACATTTTTCAACGGATTTTGACCAAACTTTCTCAGAAGCTTTGTTATCAAGTGCCCTGGAACATTTTATCGGGGTTTTGTGATTGGATAATATTTGACCTAATTATGACCCTTTGTTTTTTTTTCCTTATACAGAATATATAGTGAACAATTTCTACAGTGCACAACTTCTCCTACATTTCTCAACAGATTTTGATCAAACTTTCACAGAAGCTTTGTTATCAAGTGCCCTGGTGCATATTGTCGGGGTTTTGTGATTTGATAATATTTGACCTAATTATGCCCCTTTGTTTTTTTTCCTCAATATATAGTGAACAAATTCTTCTGTGCTGAACTAGTCCTACATTTCTCAACAGATTTTGTTCAAACTTTCACAGAAGCCATGTCATCAAGTGCCCTGGTGCATATTGTAGAGGTTTTGTGATTGGATAATTTTTGACCTAATTATGGCCCTTTGTTTTTTTTCCTTATACAGAATATATTTTTTCCTTATACA